TAATAGCTGTTAGCTGATTCAATTAGCTGATTTGACTAGCTGATTGGATTAACTGTTTGTATTAAAATGTTTGGTAAAACAACTGTTTTAAAACTGTTTATACGTAAAATGACAATTGAGGACATTTCTATTTTATTTTTGTTTCTAATATATTCAATTATGTTGTTTTGAGTTTAGAATGTTTAAAATTTTTTGTTATTAGTTATTGAAAATTGTAAAAGTATTACAAAAGTATTTATTTTTTTATTACAGTTAGATTTAAAAAATAATATATTTTTATTAAAATATATAAATATTTTTTTCTATTGAAAATGATGTAAGATATAAAATAATAAATTTTTTGTGGATATATTTATTATGTTAGTTATCGATTAGTTCATTATATTTATAATTTTCAATAAATTTTTTATTTTTAGTAAAAATTTATATAATGTAATTTTAATAAAAAAATAAATTATTAATATTTATATTTTTTATTTTATGTTGATTTTAATAAATTTATATATTTTACAATTAAAATAATTTTTATATAAAAATTAATTATTTTAAATTTATAAAAGTAAAACTATAATATAACAAATATTCTAATATAATTAATAAATAATCAAAATATATTTATTTGTGTAAAATGCATAATAAATTTAGGGCATATAAGGAATAAAAATTTTTTACAGAAAAAACTATTTCAAAACGCTAGGTAAATTAGCTTTTCAGAAATTAACTTTTTGGGTCCAAAAAGCTAATGTACCAAACACCTAAATTAGCTTTTTGACTGGTCAAACAGCTAAAAGCTCTTCGCTAAAAGCTCTTCAAAAAAATTATTTGCCAAACACCTCCCAGATCTGAAAGCTCTCCATGACTTCGTTGTCACCAACAAATTATACCAATTTTTTGGAATATGTTAACGAAGATGTAATGAAAATTTGATATGGTATATGAACATATCCTTGGTCCAAATTAAATTCATTTCAATTTTGCAAGTTGAATTCAATTGGTGAAGGATGTAACCACTCATTATAAATATGGTAAAAGATTTATATATAAAAATTATTATTTATTTTTTATTTAGTTCGAGTTATATCGTTTTAAATATATAAATAGTTTTTTATAATCTATAAAAAATTGCATTTTTTTAGAAAATGAATGTAACCACTCATTATAAATATGGTAAAAGATTTATATATGTGAATTACATTTTTATTAAGATTATATATATATATATATATAATATTCTAGTTTTGTTCTTTTTGCGTTTAAAATATTTTGAAGTTTTTATTGTTAGCTAAAAATTGTAAAATATTTTAAACATATTTATTTTTTATTTCTTTTTAAAATATAATTTAGGAAAAATTATATATTTTAACTGACAAATGTATGGTATTAAGATTTGGACTGTGGATTCAGATTTGAATAGTAAAAAATTTGAATTTGAATAGTTGTATGATGTGATATAAATATGTATTGATGTGATGTTTTGAATGTAAAATTAATTTTTAGTATAATATAAAAAATAAAAAAATAGGTGTATGATATGATATTTTTGGAAGAAAAAATTTGTGTGAATAGTATAAATCCACTCCAATCCTTCAATCAAACACGCCCATATATATATGTCACTTTCTAAAAGAAATTAATTTATATATAATATGAAAAATATTTATATTATTAATAGAATATGATTAAATATAAATAAAAAGATAGTAATATATATAAATATATATATATATATATAATAAATATATATATATATATACAAGTGGGGTTCACAGTACTATTGTTACTTACCTTTCACCAGAATTCAACTTGCAAAATTGAATTTGATTTTGAACACGAGCTGGCAATTCGAAATGATGTCTTTTATATATACCAACTTATCATTATTATTCGTATTTATTGTATAGGCAAAATATATTTTGTACATTATCAAATATCGTATTTTTTGTACTTAAGTTGTCCGTGATCTTCACGTCTTACATAAATTCACTTCTCCTTTGTTTCTATTCAATATCTAAAGGTCACACGACAGGCTATAAGTACAAAAAGTGTGAATTTTTGGAATGCGAGCCATATATTTTGTAATTAATTAATTAATTAAACATGGTGGATTAGACGTTGAATTAAGGAATTCAGCCATGCTGAATTTGATCTACACCATTAATTAATTAATTAATTAAATTATTTATTTAATTAAAATAATTAAATTAAAATGAAGGGTTTGGATTCAATTTCAGCTTATGCTGAATTGTTTATCACTTTAGTATTTGATCCAAAGCCTTAATTAAATCTATTATATATACATATATTTATGGCTGGTACGGTGTTAGAAATTGTTGGATTGATTTATTTTCTAATCTTGTGGCTCATAATGATCGGGGGTAATTTATTCATGCACATAATTTGTGGGAAAAAATTACTCGAGATTTAATCTCGTCGGATCAGGAACCCTCCTTCGCAATTCCTAGCCACCCCGCTGCAGTTGTTCCAATTCCGTCATCGACAACACAACCACTGCCGCCGTTAATGGCCAAAACAAATAATCTAGTTCCAAAGCCCTCGGTGAAGCCCAATATTTAATGTGTTTGTTTGGGGGATTGGATTTTAAATACATTATTCATCCTATTTTCCTCCCCTTTAAAAAATTAAATCAACCACCTATGTTTTATTTTTTATATTATATTAAAAATCAATTTTACATTCAAAATATCAAATCAACACCTATTTATATCACATCATACAACTATTCAAATTCAATTTTTTACTATTCAAATCTCAACTCAAAATCCAAATCCCCAAACAAACACACCATAAATATATACAAGTCCTATGTGTCCCAAGAAGGTTCCGATTTCAATAACGATAAATTATTTCGGCTAAGAGGCGACTCTTTAAGGAATTTTTTCAACTTGATGATTTTTTGTTATATTAATATGTTGTATTAAAATTATGCTTGATGATGTTAACTGTACATGACTATGCTACATGAATGGTATGTGAACGAAGAATTGTTTTGGAGTCCTTTGTACATGATGTATGTGTTAGATGTGACAATGGTTGTTTTCCAAAAAATATTTCTACGTATGATGCATATCTTAAATAGATATGGTGGGTGCCATGGATATATCATTCCATGTGCAACTTGAATTTATATTGATATACTTGATGATTTTTGTCTTATATTAATATAATGTATCAAAATATATTAGATGATAACAAACGTATACATGTATGCTATATGAATGATATGTTAACGAAGAAACTTTTTTGTATTCCTTTGTGCATGATGTATATCATAAATATTTATGATGTATATATATATACTATATCATCATCGCTGCACACTTATTATGTATCTTGTATCTCATTCTCAACGGGATTGTATAAGATGAAGTTGAAATATCTTCTAAACAGTGATGTTTATTATTGGGATCAACCTTATTTTCTTTTTTGTACCTCTCTTTGTTACAGCAAAAGTGGATGTACTGCACTTGTTTGGGATATTTTTTTGACTTTTTTTTTGCATTTGTTTCCGCATAGCAAACTCCCGACTATGTGTGTACTTACAATATGATGTGTAGACATCATCAGGGCTTGAAAATGATGTGTTCGCCCAATAATCATCGCATGGAGAAGTAAATGATACACAACATTGTAAATTATGATACACATAGTATCATGAATTGATATACGTAGTATAAAATTATGATGTCAATTAAGCATGAATATTGTATAGGTAAATACTAACTTTTTTACCCAAAAAATAACTAGATATTTATTCTATACGATTATTTGATGTTAAAATAATGGATAAAATAATTGAATTTTGTTTGATTTAAATACTCTCCATGTTTTTTGGATATTATATCTAATTTAAGTGGAAATAAGATTAAATTGTAAATAAGTCAACACTTTTGAATTTTGATATGACGTGGTGTCTGTTACCTAATATAGTAAAATCGATTTTTATTTTGATTTGTAAAACCATCACTTAATCATGATTTTAAATTTTTAATAATAGTTTATCGATAAAAGATAAAATGATGTATAGTACTGTCAAGTATGATGTATCATAGTAATAATATGATATTTTATAATAAATTAGACTTTGAGTATATTTCTTCATCTAAGTTCAATAAATCCTAATATAATGCAATATTCTCTACGTGTGAAATATTCTCTATTTTGAGTAAGTTGATTTTTTGCTTCCTAATATACATTTGGGCATTAAATCTAAATTAATTAATAGAATTATTTTGAAAATTATTTAATCACACCATTTCGTGAAATATGAAACTTGTTTTTCAAGCAATATTTACGTAATATTTATTCTCACACACAATAAAATCTAAAATCGATCTAATGAAATAATTTTGATTGTTATTTTTCCCACACATTATGCGTATAACTATTGAATTTAAAAAATAATGTTGAATATCCGTATTTTATATCGATTTTGGTTATGATTCAATACCATCTAACACGACCACCGACTAGATAGATAACCAATAAAAATTTATGTTGTATTCATATGTATAATACGATGTTCAATTAATACAAATATAATGTAAAATAAATTCATCCTATGTTACTTTTGCCGATAAATAGAAAAAAGAAAAAAAACTCAGTACGTTCATAACTTTCTTAAATTTTATATTCAACTATACAGTGCTGGTAATCAAGATAATACACATCATTTTGATCAATTTTCTTCCAAGTTCCAAGTTCACTAGTATAATTTCTCGAGTGGATCAATGTCAACAGAGAACATATAATTTTCTTTTTTTTAATGATTTAAAAATAATTGAGTTTGGATTTATTATAACCACGGTAATAAAGAAATATTAAATTTATATATACATCTCTTGAATTTATGTATAAATTTATGATTCCCTTATTTATTATATAATGTAAACTATTTAATAACCCTTACACATGATCTTGATTGTTCATCTATTACCATTATCATATGATTATGATTAAATCGGAATGGTAATTCAGGACCGTATAGGAATTGAAGTAAAATTCTTTGATAAGGTGAATCTTAAAAGATATCCAGCATCACGTTACACAAGTCCAATTGTACTAAATCCCAAGTTCGGTAAAAGATGACCTGATGGTGTAGAGTTGGATTTGTGACCGCTAGGTAAACTTAGTTTGCAGGGTACTAGATTTGACCGGGTTTACCCAGTGTAGGGTTCCACCCATATGGGCAGGCTTCACTACTATCTATGGCCGAGAGAAACCTTGGAGAGTATTTATTTTATTATAATAATTCAACCGATTATTCCAATCCCACGTTTCTCAACACATCTCGGAGGAACTCCATTTGAGATGCATACGACGACCCGCCTTCCTTCGAAACCTCTCGGCTCTTCCTCTGCATCTCCTTCATTTTCTTCCTCGCGGCGCCGTCCGCCGCCATCACCCGCCGGATCGCCGCCTCGATCTCCCCCGCCGGGACAACCTCCATCTCTGCCGCGGCCTTCTCCCGTCTCCCAAAATCTATTTTGTAATCAATCCTGATCGCCTCTGCGATCCCCAACTCCCTCACCAGATTGAACGCATTCAAATGTTGCTCGGCGTACAGCGGCAGCGCCGCCACTGGAACGCCGTACCACACGGTCTCCAGCACAGAGTTCCACCCGCAGTGCGACACGAAACCCCCCACTGCCGCGTGCGCCAGCACCGCTACCTGCGGCGCCCACCCGATCACCCGCCCCACCGCCGCCGTCCGCTCCAGGAAACCCTCCGGCAGAACCTCCTCGAAGCTGCCGTACTCACCGGCACCGGCAAGAGGAATCGACTTCTCTTCCGACGGCTTCCGCAACGACCACACAAACCTGCTTCCAGAATCTTCTAGAGCCTTGGCGAATTCCCTCACCTGAGCTCCTTGGAATGCCCCCGTCGTCCCGAAGCACAGAAACACCACCGAATCCTCCGGCTGATCGTCCAGCCACTTCATTAAATCATCTGCCGACGGATTTCTGACGGAGTCGTCGTGATCGTCCATCAAAATTGGTCCGATCGGGTAAACCTTGGGGTACATACTGTAATCAGCCGACAGAGAATCGATGGCGTAGGTTTGGAGTTCGTAGAATGTGTTGATGAGAACTCCTTTGGCGGCGGCGAATTTCCGTAAGTATCCGAAGAGGAGATCTCCGATGGGGCTGCCGTCGAAAAGCGGCGACGTAAATAATTTGACGGGAATAGGCTGAGAGGCGCAATGGAAGGACAGTTCGACATCGGAATCCTTGTACTGCGTCAGGTCTTGATTTTGTTCGAATTTCAGTGAGATGAGGTCGTAGAACGTGCCGAGAGTTAACGCTCCTGTAGTGACGAATACGTAAGATGGAATGTTAAATTCGTCACCCACCTGTGCAACCAAATAAACAAAAAAGTAACTTTCAGTTCTCAATTGAAAGTAATATTTTTACTATTATTTTTGCATATCTTACTCTAAAGTATTTATTTTGTATTTTAGTAAAAAAAATTATACATGAAAAAATATTGTTGAATATGTCCTAACATTGTAAAAAATATGAAAACTCCCTTGACTTATGAGGAGGTGAAAAACCACTTTATTTAGTATCAACTATTTTAAATTGGAAGTACAAATCCTTTCTTAACATGGTGATTATCATCCGGATTTATTTGTGAGATTTTGGTTTTTGTTTTTAGTTTTAAATAGTAAAATTTTGAATTGATATAGTTATTTGATGTGATATAAATATGTATTTATGTGATATTTTGAATGTAAAATTAAATTTTAGTGTAATCTAATAAATAAAAAATAGGTGTTTGATTTGATGTTTTTTGGAAAAAAAAATTGGAATAGTAAAACAGAAAAACAAATCTGACAAGTAAACACACTCCTATTTCTAACATTCGTATAGAAATAGAGAGTATTTATTTGTGCGATTTCGGTTTTAATTTTAATTTTAATTGTTTTTTTTAAATATCAAATTAAATACTTATTTTTTATTTATTATATTATACTAAAATTTAATTTTACATTTAAAATATCACATCCATAAGTATTTATATCACATTAAACAACAATTTCAATTCAAAATTTTACTATTAAAAAATCAAAACTAAAATCCAATTAAAACCAAAACCCTACAAATAAATACACCCATGTATTTTTAGTTTTGGTGGTGTATTTATATTATATTAATATAAATAATGTATTTTAAAACTTTTATAATTTTTTTGTTAGATATTGTGTTTTTTCATGAATGTATTTTTTAATACTCCTCTGTCCCAGCTATTTTGTCCTATTTAGGTTAGACACAGAGTTTTAGGTATTGTGTAATTAATAAATAATTAAGAAGTGTATTACTGAATATAATTATATTTTTAAATTGTGTTTGCTTGTGATTTGAAATGCAAATTAACATTATTCGTACAATTTTTAATAAAAATATATTATTTTTTCTTATGAAATATTATACTCCCTCTGTACCGGAACTATAGTTTTGGTTATGTTGGGCACGAGATTTAAGTGGATAAAAAATATAGGTAAAAGATATTTTTGTCCTTGTGAGTGTATTAGTGTAAAAGGTAGTGACAATTGCTTAATAATAATGAAAGAGTAAGAATAGTTTTATATAGTGATATGGTTATTTATGAAAATAAGACTATTGTTTTGGGATTGATAAAAATAGTAAACAAGACTATTGTATTGAGACGGAAAGTGTATCAAAATGCTGTCAAATAAAACTTTAAATTAATATTTTATTTCAAATCAATTTCAAACCACAGTCAAACAAACTAGTATTTGTACTAACCTGAATAAAACTGGTGCAAAACATATCGACAACGAGGCCGGCTAGTTTGGAGCGAGGGATGAGAGGTTTCTCGACCAAGTCGGACAAGACTCGTCTGATCTTGTCGGCATGGCTGTCGGTATACCTGAAGAAATATGTCGGTGTCCCGGGCTCAATGTTACAGTCATGATCGGGCAATTCAATGAATCGAAGCCGTGGAATAGTTTTTTCCATGATGGACGAAACTTTCTCTTTATGATCATCTCCTGCATCGGGGAGCTTGATGATGAGTATAGTGATGGCGAGGCGATTGCCGCCGCGGGTGAGGAGGAGCTTGGCGGCGTCGACGGTGGAGATGAGGTGGCTCAGCCTCGGCAAGGGGACGAACACGAGCTCTACAGGCTGTTGGGACATTGTCTTTAATTAGTTAGGCCTAAGGTTGTTGTGGACGATGATTGAAGTAAGGAGGGATACTAATAGTGTTAATGTAAAATGGTCCTTGTTATTTTATGTGGCTAGCAAATACACAGCGGGTCATATCTTTGAGGTGTGATGGATTAGGAAAGTTTGATTTTCAAACATTTTGCAATATTTTTTATTTTAATTTGTTTCAAATATTTTATACTCTCTACGTCCCGGTCAATATGATCTATTTAGTTAGTGATACGGTATTTTAGGTAGTGTTGATTAATAAATTATTAATAATAAGTTACGATATTATTTTATTATTTTTTATATGGGTAATTGTTATTGGTATTTTAAATATATTTAGCATTATATCTCAATAAAATATATACCATATGAATATCATTTTTTAGAGAATAAAATTTTATAATTAACGAATGAAACTAATTTTATAAAAAATAAGGAGTTTTAAATATAGATAAAAATATTTGTTTGTTGAAGAGAGATAAAAATAAAGGAGTTTTTAAGTGCGTGTAAAAAGTTGGAAATTTGATTAAATTTATTTATATTTGTTAAATATAGTTAAGATGAATAAATTTACTTTTGTTTGGGGGATTGGATTAGATTTTCACTATTCATCCCCTTTTTTCCCCAAAAAACCATCAAATCAAATACTTATTTTTTATTTTTTATATTATACTAAAAATCAATTTTACATTCAAAACATTACATCAATACTTATTTATATCATATCATACAACTATTCAAATTCAAAATTTTTACTATTTAAATCTCAACTCAAAATCCAAACCCCCAAACAAACACACCCAAATAGAAAGGGTCATCTTTGAGGGGACCTAGAAAAAAAGAAAATGGGTCACTGGGACGGAATGAGTAATATTTTTGAAATAAAAAAATAATTAATATATTTAATCTCTTAATAAATATATATTATACTTTATCTTATCACATCAACAAAAAAAAATAAAAAATAAATTTATAATTTTTTCTTCCATTACATCACATAATTCTGAAACTATCCTATTTAATAGTACTCATTTAAATTCTTATACTAAAAATAAATATTGCACCATATTTGGAACAACGGAGTATTAAGCTCGATGAGGTGTATTTCTTTAATATGTATTTTGTTAATTTATTATATTTTTAAAAAAATTATTATATCAATTATATATCTTTTATATAAATATTACCGTTGTGTTTTGTTTGGTCTTTTAACTCAAAGTAATAGTATTACTATTTAATTTGTATTATAATTTTTGATAAAAATGTACTCCCTTCGTCTCAAATCAAAGAGATTTTTTGGGGTTTTATAGTAAATTAAGAAATAATAATTAGTAGAAGTGTGAAAGAGTTTTTGACTATATGTAAAAAACTATTTGTAATTTAAGTAAAAGTTAAAGGTATTTTGGTATTAGTGTATGATTACTTTTTCTAAAATAGAAAAAATATGTTTTGAAATTTGACAGACGAAAATGATAAAAATGGTACTTTGAATTAGATCGGAAGAGTATAATTTTTTAATAAAATATCACATTAAAGTATTATTTAAACAAAATTCAAACTAAAATCAAAACCAAAGAAATCCTATATTATACGGTTAATTTACATAAAAGATATTTTATCCGTCATTTAAATTTATGTTTATTTTTCCTTACGGATTGTCATCAAAACAAATATTCTCATTTTATTTTAAGTAAAAAAAAATAATCATTATATTTTTATACTTTTTTTACTATAAAAAAATAATTATTACTTATTTTTATTAAAATTCGTCTGTTGAAATGAACATACAATTGCATTACGGTTATGTATTTAAAAAAATATAAAAAAAGAACCAAAAAATTAAAATACATCATTTATTTAATTTTAAGATGTTTAAAAACTTTTTATTACTTTTTTTATTTAAATACTACAATTTTTCTTCTTTTATCCTTCTTAATATAAAATTTTAAAATATGCTAAATAAATATTAAGGACATAATAATTTAAAAAAAGTCAACTGTTGTAATATTATTATAGGATTAGCCAATAAAAATATTAATTACTTCTACTGCTAACAACTATTTTATATTTTGTATATAATATATTATATATACGGTATATATGTAAGTGTGTATATATATATGCAATAGATATATGAATAATATATGTGTATAATGTATACCGTGTGTGTGCGTGTGTATTGATATAGATGTATAGGTGTGTGTGAGAGAGCATTACTTAGAGAAGGTGAAGGAGAAGCTCACTACATTCATTTAATTGTTGGTCCATATTTATACACAACCAAATCCCATAATGAAGGAAAAGCATACAAATTACTACGTAGCCTTTAGGTGTATCATACATAGCTATTTTAACATCAACGGTGTTTTAGTTCTTTTAACTGATTTTCTTGTCAATTTAGTTCTGTAATTAAAGCCGATATTGAAATAGTCTGGTAAGTGATTTTTTTTGGCACATTTGATCCTCCGGTCGGAGATGCCAGCGTGCCACGCCGCAAGACACATATCTCCCAAGTAAATGCCACTTAGCGGCCAGTGAAATTCTAATTTTTTAGAAAAATTATTTTTATAGTTCCGTAATTGACCTTTTATCATTTTAGCATCACAACTAGAGTTTATATATAACTGATCCTATAAGTAATTTTTTTTTTTTGCACAATTGGTTTCCCAACGCTGGAGATGCGCATGTGGCACCAGCGCGTTACGCCGGACCACACGTATCCGCCAAGTAGGTGCCACTTCGCGGACTTGGAAATTTTTTATCTTTTAAGTGCTTTTTTTCTTTAAATTTGGACAGTACAAAAAATTTTAAAAAAAAAATTGAAAAAAAACATCCAAATGTCCTTAAGGTAACGCCTACCTGGCGGACACTTGTGTTCTGGTTTGCCACGTGAGTGCCACACATTCATCACTTTAAATAAGGAAAAATAATATTCTGTATAGAAATAAGGTTGTGTTGATGAACGCATGGTACGCCAGAGCACATATGTCTACTAGGTAAACGCCACCTAACGGACACATGAATTTTTTTTATTTTTTTATTTTTCATATTTTTGGTATTGTCCAAATTTAAAAATTAATAAAAAAGATTTCACATCTCCACCAAGTAGTGCTTACTCAGAAAACACGTGTGCTCCAATGTACCACACGGGTGCCACGTACACATTTCTGGAGCCAGGACCAATTCTTCCAAAAGATAATTACTTACAAGACCATTTTTACACACGATATAGTTATGAGACTAAAATGATCAAAGAATCGGTTACAAGACTAAAGAATATTTTTTCCCAAAAATTGATATTCTATGTCTGCCAGGTGATGCTGCGGACATATGTCTTCCGATGTGCCACATCTGGCGCCATAGGACCAAATGTGTCCAAAAAAATTCATTTACGAGACTATTTCAATACAAAATTCAGTTACAAAGCAAAAATAGTAAGAATGACCAATGACGGAACTAGAAGAACATATTACTCTAGGCTCCTCTCACCCCAACCCACCCCATTTTTTTAAAATTAAATATATATATATAATATAATATAATAAAAAATTGATAAAAAATCATAAAAAATGCTGAAAATTAAAATTGATTATATCAAAATTATTATTTAATTTTTATAATTTTTAATAAATATATACATTTTAAAATATCACAATAATATATAATATTTAAATTCAAATTCAAATCAAACAAATTTTTAATTGTGGGAATGAAATAATTTTAATGATTTTTTTTATTAAAAGTAATTTTTTAAAAAAATAATAAATGTATTTTTTTGGAAATTTTAAATAATATAAAAAATATCTACAATATATAATTATTATTTGTCAATATTTTTAGAATTTTTTAACAAAGATATATTGTGCATATCATATTACAATTTAGTAAGTAATGATTATCTTTAACCAGCATCATATCTAGCATAATTTTTAAAATATAAGAAATTGAAAATAAATCAATATATATTTTTATATGTATAAATTTCGATTTTAAAAAATTAACCACCCATTCGATTAAGTTCTGGTTTCACCCCTGACTTCCTCTATCCCATTTCAAATGACTCGTTTTCTTTGAGACATTGTATCTAAGGTATAATTAGTTAATAATAGTAGATACGATAATTTAGATGAACTATATTCTTTCCGTCCCAGGTGAATGTATCCCTTTGTGTTTGTAATAAATTAAAAAATAATAATATTTTATTAGTTAACGAAAGTCTGTGAAAGATTTTGACAATTTTTTTATTTGATTGTATATTTAAAATAATTGTATATGTAATAGTATATATATATATTTTTTTAAGTATAGTTAAGGGTATAATGATATTAGTGTATGATTATTTTTACTAAAATAAAAAATATATATATTTATGAGTGGAACAAACGAAAATAGTAAAAATAGTACTTTGAGTTGGATTGAGGGTGTAATTACTAAATAATTAAAATGTATATTATTAATAAAAATAATTATTGTAATAATAATTATTATAAATAAAATTAAAATAACTAAATAGTTTAATTAAGATTAAAAAAATTATAAACTGTAAAATTAAAAATATAATTAAAATATATAATTATATTTCAAAAGAAAAAAAAGATAAATTATGTGGCATGAATCTAAATGAAAAAAAAATAAAAATTATACTACTATGTAGGATGAATGGTATATATTTTTATACGAGTAGTTGTTGTTAATTTTACTATATATGATCAAAATAAATATAGAATATGTGTTTAAATATTTTAAATATTATATTTTAATAAAATATATGTAATATATATATATATATATTATTTTTTAAATAATAAAAATAAAGAAAAAATATTTATTCATAATTAAGAAAAATTAATCTTATAAAAAAAGAAAAATTTTAAATATAGATAAAAATATTTTATTAGGAAGAGAGATATAAATGAAGAAGTTTTGTGTGAATTTTATATGATGTATGATATTATATGTTATGAAGTTGATTTGTATATTAAGTATATTTCGATTTAGTAAATTTATTAAAAATAAAAACGTGTCGATTGA